TGGTTATTGTTACTTAGATGGACGTAAAGAAAAAGTTGATAATTTTAAAATTAAGCCACCTGGTTTGTTTAAAGGTCGTGGTGTTCATCCTAAAACTGGTTCATTGAAGTATAGAGTCACTCCTGAGCAAATAAAAATTAATCTCAGTGAAGATGCATCCATCCCTTCTCCACCTGCTGGCCACTCCTGGGGTGGTATTCTACATGATAACACAGTTACCTGGCTTGCCACCTGGAAGGAGAATAACAAAACAAAATATATGTCATTAGCAGCCAATAGCTCAATTAAAGGTTATATTGACTTGGAAAAATTTGATAAAGCTAGGAAGCTTGATAAACACTTAGAAAAAATTCGCCATGATTACACAAAAGATTTAGAAGATAAACTTGAATCAGTTCGTCAACGTGGTACAGCTATGTATCTTATTGACACACTTTCACTAAGAGCAGGAAATGAAAAAACTGTTGAAGAAGCAGATACTGTAGGTTGTTGTTCTCTCAGGTGTGAGCATATTACTTTGGTAGAACCAAGGACAGTCAAGTTTGATTTTTTGGGTAAAGATTCAATAAGATACAAAAATTCAGTGGAAGTAACAGAACAAGTTTTTGAAAATTTTAAAATATTTATGAAGGATAAGGAAACCAGTGAAGAGTTATTTGACAGATTAACGGTACAAAAATACAAGATTTAAATTTAATCAATTGCATATATGTGTGTGCATTTGTGTTTTGTTCTATTAATAAATTCAAATTTTCTTTAAAATTTATTTAGACTCAAGATTTGAATAAACATTTGTCTGAATACATGAAAGGACTAACCATCAAAGTATTTCGTACATACAATGCATCTTGTATCTTCCAAATTGAGCTAAAGAAAGGGATGGAGAATGCTACTACTGCAAGAGAGAAAATAGCAGCATATAAGAAAGCAAACAGACAGGTTGCTATTTTATGTAACCATCAACATTCCTTCAGCAAAGATCATGATAATCAAATCAATAGAATTGACAATAGGGTAATTTTTTTTTAATCATGATTATTGTTAATTTCTTAAATAAATTCACATTTATGTATTCTTTAATATGTTAGATCCATGCTTTGAAATACCAAAGAAATAGATGTAAAATGGAATTGTTGAATCTTGACCCTGGATTAAAAAAGAAAGAGCCTCAACTATTTGAACCAGAATCAGACATGGAAGAGGAATGGATAATTGAGCATGAGAAGCAATTGATGGAAAGGGAACATTTGGCAGTTGTAAAAAAATTGAAAGAGATAATGAAAAGCTTACAGAAGAAGGAAAGTCACCTAAACCTGATGAGAATCTTGGACAATTATTAAAAAACATTGATGAAAAAGAGAAGGTGTTGAAGTATGAACAAAAATCTGGAAAGATCAATCCAAGAAAAGGACAAACAAGTGAAAAACTCCAGATCCAAATAGAAAATTTGACAGAATGTGTTAGGCACATCAAAAATCCATTACCTAGACCCACGGATCTCTGTTGCATGGTGCAAAAAATATGATGTGCCAATCACTAGAATTTTCAACAAGTGCCTCTGCAAAAAGTTCCAGTGGGCGTTGGATGTAGATGCGGATTGGGTGAGTTTTTTTTTTTTTTGATTAATTTTATTAAATAATAATATATTTAAAATTATTTTTATTATTTTTAGGAATTTTAATTGTTGTGCAGTTGTGCAGTTATTTTTTGTTTGGCCATTTTTTGCTTTTGCTATTTTAAACTTGTGAATTTGTATGTTGTGCTTGGTATTAAATCTCTGCCTGGTGGATGGTTATATTTTTTGTGCTGATAGAAATTTTTTTATAATTTAGATCTGATGATAGTAAGGATTCTATTATCATCATCATTAGCTATATTATTATTATTATTAATTTAGATTATAAATATGAAAGCTACAATTTATATATATACTCATTATAGATATAGAATAAACAGTTAATTATTTTTTAAGAGCTTTAAATAAAAAAAATGTTGATCAACATGTATCTATCGTTGAACACTTTATTTTAAATATTAATACTTTTTTTTGAAACTGCCTGTTAATGACGATAATAATAATAGGTCCTGTGAAGCTTGAGAATTCAAAATATAACATTTATATTTATATATAAAAGTCAAAAAATCAAATTATAATACAATAATAAATAATCATAAGTCATGAATAATACAATAAATAAGTATAATGCTAAATAATGATATCACATGAAAACACCCATATAACATCAATCTACAGAAACAAGCCACACTTCTAGTTATCATTGTACAAGAAATAGGTTTTCCAGAAGGTTAAATATCTGTATCTGTATCTGATTAAGGTCTTATCAGCTCTTCTAGGGCAGATGTATTAATCACATACTCTCCTAATATTTCTTCTAATTTTAGGATCCTACTTTCTACCCGCCCCATTCTTTCTTTAGTGGAAATTTGTTCTTTGTCAGGTTTAGTTTTTGTGATGAATGGAAGGTCTTTGAAGTCTGCTTTGCGTGCTATTTCCGATTTTGCCACTTTATGCATTAGACCCCTTTTAGAGAAGGTTCATGTTGAAATTAGCTAAACATTTCAGAAAATTGAACAAAATAAACGCTTTCAAAAGCTTACCAAGGATTAATTCTCGGTTGTCCAAAAAACAACATATAAATTCCACCAATCAATCCTAATTCAAAATTGATTAGATATATTCAATCAAGAAGCACCTATCAGATATTTAATATTGCCTTTTTAACTTACCAACAGCACCACCAGCCACCCCCAAAGCCCCAAGAACCGTATATGAACTTATGAGCAGGACAAAGAAAAAAATAGAGATATAATAAAATGTTACAGAAACCAAAATTTCAAATTTTGAAATGAGTTGTCTCATTTACCGTTTTTCAGATTGCACCTCGTGGAGAAAACTTCCCGGAGCAATATTAAAGTGACCTGTAAAGGGGAAGCTGTCGTTTGGATGCATTTGAAAGTATTTTGTCACAGTGGTAAAGAAGGATGTATTATTGTAATTAGGAGGTAGGCCGAGGATTGTGGATACGTCTTCAGGTAAAGTAGACAATGTGGTTTTCTTAAAGTATACCTGAATATTGGTGTAGATTAAATTTAGTGATAATCATCCATGGAAAGATAATTAGCGAATTAAAATAACTGACCAGAGCTGACACATTTTGGATGCCCGCGAACGTATTCATTTGTTCATCTAATCGTTTTTTTACTGGATTTGTCGGTGATAAGTCCTTGAACCCTGTTAAAACATAATTAATGATTACATATTGTATCAGTAAAATCATAAAATATTTCTTGACACAGAAGGTAAAGTACATTAATCACCTTTATCTGATATTCGGCCTGTGATAGTTGCTACAGATAAAAAATGCTCGACAACGGCGGAAATGTTAAGGATTTTGAAATAAAAGTCAATGCTCTTTACCGACAATTCTCCGGGGAGTCTTTTTGAGTCGCTGAAAAAGTAACTATCATCAGCCTTAAGAGTATAGCAATACTTATCCCCATCCTCCTTTGTTATGATTTTTTCAGATTCAAATATTCTACTTTCCGAGCTACAACCATCAGTAGTTTTGTTATTACTCCAATTGAAAATACATTTAGATATTTCGATATCGCTGTTATCGCCACAGAGTTCAATTTCTTTATGAGAATATGAATATAAATAAAAAATCCGTTAGATTGAAATTTTTTTGGAATTTTAACACCTCGCTCACTAACACACCAGGAATGCTGATTTTGTCCAAATACTCATAAGATATTTGTATTAACGGTTTATCAATGACAATTCGATATGCAAGAAATGCCAAGTAGCCTATATAGAGAAGAATTACTGTAATAGCTGTCCCCCATCTTAAACATTGAAACCTCTTTGATTCCGGGAACTGTGAATTAATTAATTATATATAAAGGTGAGTTTTTAAATAAGTATTTTTCATAGAATATAAATCAACTATTTATATTTAAGACTCTTAACTCTTTTCCGACCAGTTCCGAGAATAGAAAGCATTTTTAGGGAAAAGTAGAATTAGGATTCGTTCTTTTATAGGGTGAAATTACTCATGAAAAGAACAAGTAATCAGCAATTTTGAATATTGCTGCTATTTTAATTTTTTAAATGAATATGGCGGAATTAATATAAATTTATTTGATCGGGACGGTCATTGAAAATATTATTTATGTTGCAGAAACTTCTTTTTTAAAACTCAAATGATAAATGAATTAGTTCCATTATTTATAAATCATTTCCTATTATTGATTGTAAAAAAAAGAATTTTATTCCGCCAATTTTAATAGTAATAGTCATTATCAATTCATTGGCAACAATAGGATTTCCCGATCTCTTTATCATGATATTGGGGCGATTTAAATTTATTGAGATACTAAATTGGTCATTGATAAAGAAAAACTTATATGATGAACACTTTTTAATACTAACAATTATTATTGTCATTATCTACCAATTATAGCAACCTATTTTTAAAAAATTTGAATTGATCAACGAATGGTTTTGATTACTTGATTTACGAAACTTGTTTGAATTTACTAATTAAATCATGCACTACGATAAACAATTGAACAAAGTGAAATACCAATTATGAATTATCATTTAAAGAAACTTGCATAAAAAAAAGTTTTTGGTTTTGGCTAATTTGAATTTCACGTGTGATATATTTAACATGTAAAATCTTTTTTTTATTATAACCCATCAATAAATAAACAAATAAATAAAATAAATATTAATATTAAATGAAAAAATGAACTTCCAAATTAGAGGCGCATCAATAGATGGAGAACTTTTATTTACATGATAAGAATAAATGTACAACAATTCTTCGAGTTCTTTACCAATAGTTTACTTATAATTTGTTTTAGTTAGATATGAGTATTGATATGTTGTACTATGATGAAATATTCTTTCCGATAGGAAAGGTTTAGATAATTCCACCAGATGGAAAAATGTCTCAAAATGCGAGATGAAGATTCTGGACAATACGTTTGAATTTGATAAAGAATTTGTTTTTTTTGATTTGTAAAAAATATTCAAGATTGCAATGAGTTGTTTAAATTAATCATGAGGATTATTAGTAAAAATCAAATGTATGGAAAAAGAACTGTTCTATTATTCTTAATGCCTTCACTTCCATCTTTTCATCATCAAATCATCTAATTCGAAATTCTTCTTTTTTTTTCTATTGATGATAATTTTAAAACCTCAAAAATTGGCATATCAACAAGAATACCATGACAACAATAATGATATAAAGATTTCCAAATTATAAAAGCAGTGAAAAGATCATTATAAAAAATTTTGTTCTGGGGTAAATGAAGATTTAAGATCACTTGTATATGTACTGTAGGATAATTATCATGGGAAATTTTACAGTGAATTGATTAATTAAATTTGTATCGGAACTAGAGTAACGACAAGTGGCGGGCGATAACCACCACCACCATCCTTAAAACACTTACACATCATTCCTCGTTTCATTTTCTCTGTTTCTTTTATTGTTGAATTGTGACATTTTTTTTTAAAAAAATAAAAAGAAGTTTGTGTGATCGACGCGTACACATTAATTACACTCACTGGTCATAAATATAAGGACACTTGCAGATCATTGGAAATAATTGAACAAAGAAACATGAAAAAAAATA